CACACCTTATAGTACATGAACTTGGATTTATACCAATAATGTACATCAAATTGAAATGAAATGTTAAATATCTGTCGGAATGCAATCATTATAATGCAAACTTTGTGTATCAATGGTTCTGATCGGATGACAACAAGCGCAATATCCTCTATCTACCTGTTTGTAGCTAATTGAAGCCGACATTTCGAATTCTGGAATGTATACTGTGTTATTTCTTCCATTATAAATAAAAAACTCACCTACAAATGTTCTCTTTATCTAATTTTGTTACTTTATGAGGGGAACAAGTTGCCTGAAAAACCCCGCTGTTTACATTTAACACCGGAAGCATACACATGACGTCACCTTGTTTAGGTGCTAAAGACGATATCATTATTGCGCTTAATGTTCAGAATAATAACTGAAATGGACTGATTTGTTTATTTTGTATTAGAATTGAGATAACCCTATTGTATTTGAAGCTTAGCCTACGTAAAATGTGGGTTTTACTGTCGAAAATTGGGTTTACCTGGTCGTATAAATAAGGTGGGCGTAACGCGGAACAGCCAATTTTGTGTATTAATGCGTTTGCGCTTAAAGAAGATTTGCTGTGATTATACTGGTTGACGATATATAGGCCGTCATATAAGAATTGAAAATATATCATGAGCCTCGTATGAGGTCGATACCATGAAACACCTTAATACAGTTTTTATGATTTGTCTATTTTCATCTTGAAAATGCATGAAATATTTGCCACTGCACATTGAGAGGGAATTTAAACTCTCTCTCTTCCTATACCGCCCCCATTTCATCGAATTCGAGAGATCATGCGACGGGTGTCGCATAGTGTTTTTAGACTGTTTGCCACTTCTATTGTCAGTGTGTTTTCGACTTATGAGTTTGAATGTTCGTTTTATATCTTCCGACTCTGTTTTCGTATTTACTTTATATATCTTATACGTTTTAAGATGTCGCTTTCAAGGATTTCAAATGTACGTGACTAAACGAGGATATTTGATTTTTATAATTGAAACAGCAACTATACTACACAATACAATCAGATAACCATTCTGTGTAAAAATAAGTAGATGGTGATTGCATGACCTATAAAATGTGGCGTGGAAGTGGTATTAATTTTACATTTGCATTACAAAGCTAAAAGTATGTATGGCGTTTTAAAATCATTACAAGGTCCTGCCAATGTTTAACTAAAAGAATGGGGTTACTTTATGTTTTTGTACTCATATGAAGCAGAATTCATTCAGAACCTTCTAAAAGACAAAAAGAAAAAGCACCTTGCAAAATTCTTTAATTTTACTTTCAGATATATGATGATGTCCTATCACTGAATAACCACATATTTCAGTCAGTATTTGCATTTCATATATCCCTGTGAACTTGAAATTAAGGATACTACTGATACAACAAGGACTGCTTCATACCTTGATCTTTTCCTCACTATTGACTCAGATGGACGACTTCACACTAAAATCTATGACAAACGGGATGATTTCAACTTCCCAATTATCAATTTTCCATTTCGCAGCAGTAACATACCCTCTGCCCCGTCATATGGTGTTTACATATCTCAATTGATACGTTATGCTCGTGCATGTGCACACTATACGGACTTCATATACAGGAGTGTGTTCCTAACGCAGAAACTACTCCAACAGAGTTATGAGGAGGAAAGATTAAAAATGACACTCCGTAAATTTTATGGACACCATCACGAATTGGTTGATCTATACGATGTGTCTGTGTCTAAACTAACTAATGACATTTTTACCACGTCTTAGATTGTGGTTTAACATCTATGTCGTCTGACTGCTAAGTACCGAACGTGACCTTTTGCCGAATATGACTGTTTTGCCGAGTGTTAATTTGCATTGCTATACGTGTCTCGGTATTTTATACATCCAACATTCATGTATTTATTTATGATGTTTCTGTTGTGGTTTCGGTCGGATAATGTGTTGTGTTTTATCGTTTGTGGTTAAAATTCTGTACTTTCGGTACATTTCACATATGTCTTATTTGTCAGTATAGTCGAGTTGATTTCCATTTTGCATGGATAAATTATTGTGTTAGTCCAAATAATTATGACGTCGTCACAGCATTTGTTTAAAATAGCCTTTCAATACCGTCATTATCATGATAATTGTTTGGGCTAGTATTGTGAAAATAATTGTATAATTTCAAGATTATATATTCGTTATAAAAATACGTCACTGTTTGTGATGTTCTGTGCTGTCTGTCGTTAATGGAAGATGTTCGTTGTTATTCTGTGGTTTACATGTTGTAACGGCTATTATATTATTTATTTGTGCGTTTCTCTGTGATTAGTGTTCTTGCGTGTGTTTGTGCTGTATTTCTGTCACGTAGTGTTGTCATTTTAGCGATATATTTTTCAACATTGCCATCTAAGCGAGAGGTTTGGCTAGCCATAAAACCAGGTTCAACCCAACTTTTTATCTTAAAATGTCCTGAACCAAGTCAGGAATATGGCAGTTGTTATCAAATAGTTCGTTTCTATGTATGTTGGCGTTTGTTTTTGTTGCACTTCAGTGTTTCTGTTGTTCCTTTGTTTTCCTCTCATAGTTGATGTGTTTCCCTCGGTTTTAGTTTGTAACCCGGATTTGTTTTCTCTCAATCGATTTATGACTTTTGAACAGCGGTATACTACTAATGCCTTTATTTATGGCCCCTTGAATTCTTACATAAAAAAAGTATTATGAATTTACCAAGCAACATCCTTCAGATGTTTATTAGATAATAGTCTGACACACATCAGTATTGATAGTTTTGAATTTTTGTTTTATATATTAGCATTAGTGCTTCGAACTTTTTTTAAATAAGCGAAAAAACTGCAAAAACATCTGAAATAGCCTCATTTTGAGATGTTGTTTTGAGCAAAGGATCTACCATGTTTATCCGACAAATGGTTTAGCTAAAAATGTATTTTATAAAAATTTTATTGTGTGAATTATCGTTTTGGGAAACCTTTGCATATATGTATTTGGTCAAACCGCTATGTGTAAAATGGTCAGATATGTAAATTTCATGACAGGTTGCAAAATAATTGTTCCTATCATACCTTCTCCTTTGTGCATTGTTTAAACTCAGAAGATGACGGGGGGATATCTTATCCGGTACAATAACATGGTTTTATTACAACTTTAAGATTGAATAATTAAGCTTACAGTTTATCCCAAAAAAAGAACGATGCTTATGTTCTGGCGTATCCGCGTAATCGTTATTATTAATGTAGAGTTGAAGATAAAGTTATTATTTTTCATGATAACAGTTTGATTATTGATAAAGTAAATCAATGAATTCAGCGAAGTAATGTCAATTTTCCTTTTATTGCATATTATACTTCCCGAATAGATGTTTTATATTGAAGATTATCGAAAATCATTTGTCCAATACAAACTGAAAAAATAGTGTCCAAAAATTAAAACTACAAAAAAGACAAACAACTTAAACAAAACACTAAATAGAAAATTAACGATTGAGCAACATGAACCCAAAAACTCGACGAAACTGATGAGTTAGTGAGCTACCTCCTTTGACAATGAATTATTAACATGTCTTAATATAAAAACATTATGTTTTGAAGATTGTATGGATTTGATGCATTATTTTTTGCCAAAGGGTTGCTGTCTCATTGACTAATACCCAAATATATTTTCTTCATAGTCGCAAAACATACAACTCTCTTAATATCAAATAGTTTTCCGATTTTAACAACATTAATAACAATTGCATATGTAAGAGATTTTTATAGCAATTTCCTCAGTTGTTTGTTACCTAAATTTGTCTCTACTTAATCGATATACGAGATTTGAACATAGTTCAATAATTTGAAAATACTGATCTACAAAAAATATCAAATTCAATACAAAATGTACAAGATCTATTGCGCTATAAACCTATGTTCCTTATTTCTAATAGTTTACCTTGGTCCATGACTTTTGACTAAAACTGATATATTATGACAAAAAGGATGTATGCATATGTTTCCGATATGATAATATAATAAACACATATGTTCGATAATAAAAATTCCCCCTTAAAGCTAAAGGTGAAATTTCACTCTTAAAAGATTTATTTGTTTTTATCAGATGCTGCATGTGTTTCTGAGAAATTCTTCAATTTTTATGCCTTTTTGCATTTTATTAATTAAGAAAAAAAAAAAGATATTTTTAATTGGTAAAAGCAATATCTATTTTACAGAATCATATTATTATGGTATATTCATTTGTATATTTTCCTTAGATTCGACGTTCGAAGTATTATTTCTGTTTTAAGGTAGATTCACTGTATACCGCCATCTTGGATTGTACAATAGCAGTACACAATCGGTCTAGTTCTTTGCCTAAATCTGTAAATTTTGATACAGATTTGAAATTTATGTGTAAGACTGTTTATTTGTATAAAGAAAAATAAGAGATTTATTGTATTATCCAAAATGTTTAAACAAATACCAAATATTTGTGTTTTTCGAATCAATTTTTCAACTTAGCCATTTAAGAGAAGATAACTCTTATATCAAAAATTTCATACTGGAATGATAGTGAAATTTTCATTTTTTACTTGTATTAATAAAACAAGTTCGGTGACACCATTTTTTATTTTTATTTTCTCAAAGCATATTATAATACCTATTTTCTCATATTTTCTCTCAAAATTCTATCTCATAGATTTCTTTTTATTAACAAAAATGAAGTTTTTTATGAACAATTTATGCAAATTTGGGCAATTTTGCACAACTCGTAGCTTGAAAAATAGCACGGTGACCCATACTTTTTATCATATATGAAAAAAAGCATAGTTAAACCTTCATTTCGGCAAAGTATAAGAAAATTCTATCTGAGGAAATATATACCGATGAGTCACCTTAACAACAATTGCAACAATGTACGAAATTTCTGATGAATAAGTTAATTTGCTAACAACATTTTAAAATTGAAAAATTGTTCAAAGTTCTATAAAAATTCATTATCATTTCTTTTCAGGAGCTGCTCAATCTGCAATATGAAACAGTATGTTTATTTTTTTACTTGTATTTGATTGAAAGAAAAACAACCAAAGTCCATTAAGAAGTATCTCGACAAAAGTAAAGGAAAACTGCAAACAAAAACACATACAAGCTGACTACAAGCTGACTGGATTATTGTTTCCTGCATTTGTATGAATTGAAATTAAGCTTGGCCGGACTTGGCTTTTTTATTTGATAAGTTAACGTTTGTATAAGTTGTGGTTTTCAAAAGGTTGGCACCAACAACACCGAAGAGACATTTATTGTCAAAATGCGCATCTGGAGGAGTTAAATATGTACCTTTAGTGATATTAGAAATGTTATTATTTATTGTAAAATATGAATTATGGACAATAGCGTTGTCAAAGTAAGGGATTCTGAAACGGTAAATTCGTATTTCTTGTTGTTTGTTGTAGTTTGCAACAAATGCTTATCCTTTCAACATACAGCTTTCACCGTTAGCCAGTCACGAGAATCGGACTAATTTCGCTCACTTGTTGTGCCTTAACCTATCCTATGATATTGGATCTGACAAAGCTACTAGTGTAATAATTGACTAGCTCGAAAAAAGATAATTAGTCTTGGAGATTGTATTAATTTAAAACATTAAAGCAAGTCAAAACGGTAAAATGATTTTTCTCGAGCCTGCGACTTTTGTCGCAAAAGCAAGACATGGCAATCCTGCATTCCATCGTCGTCGTTGTCGTCGTCGGCGGCGGCGGCGTCCACAAATATTCACTCTGTGGTTTAAGTTTTTCAAATTTAAATAACTTTCTTAAACTATCCTGCATTTCAACCAAACTTGGACAAAAGCTTGTTTATGATCATAAGATAGTATCCAGAAGTAAATTTTGTAAAAAAATCCTGTTTATCCGTATTTTTCTGCCAGTTAACATTACATTCACTCTGTGGTTAAAGTTTTTCAAATTTGAATAACTTTCTTAAACTATCTTAGATTTGTACCAAACTTGGACAGAAGCTTGTTTATGATCATAAAATAGTATCCAGAATAAAATTAAAAAAAAAAATCCTGTTTATCCGTATTTTCCTCATACATGTCATATATGGACTTAGTTTTTCTCTTAGATGCATGCTTTTTTTTATTAGTTGTTAGTGGCTTTGAACTAGCTGTCAGTAACTGCGAGTACTCTCAGATCTGTACGTATTGTCTTTTTGTTGTTTGGATGTACAAGTACCCGGCCACGTCCACTTGTATTTGTAGTATTTGTATTTTTATCCATCTGATGAGTTAAGCCTCTTTCAACTGATTTTTATTGTTCGTTCTTATGCTGTACTGTTACACCACTGTCCCAGGTTAGGGGGAGGGTTGGGATCCCGATAACAAGTTTAACCCCGCCACATTCTGTATGTATGTGTCTGTCCCAAGTCAGGAGCCTGTAATTCAGTGGTTGTCGTTTGTTTATGTGTTACATATTTGTTATCGTTCATTTTTTGTACATAAATTAGGCCGTTAGTTTTCTCGTTTGAATTGTTTTACATTGTCATTTCGGGGCCTTTTATAGCTGACTGTGCGGTATGGGCTTTGCTCATTGTTGACGGCCGTATGGTGACCTATAGTTGTTAATTTCTGTGTCATTTGGTCTCTTGTGGATAGTTGTCTCATTGGCAATCATATCACATCTTCTTTTCTTATATTAGTTTTTCTGCCAGTTAACATAACATTCACTCTGTGGTTAAGGTTTTTCAAGTTTTGATAACTTTCTTAAACTATCCTGGATTTGTACCACACTTCGACAGAAGCTTGTTTGTGATCATAAGAGACTATTCAAAAGTAAATTTTGTTAAAACAAAATCCTGTTTATCCGTATTTTACTTATAAATAAGTTTTTCTGCCAGTTAACATTACATTCACTCTGTGGTTAAAGCTTTCAAAATTTTAATAACTTTCTTAAACTATCCTGGATTTGTACCAAACTTGGACAGAAGCTTGTTTATGATCAAAAGCTAGTATCTAGAAGGAAATTTTGTACAAATGTATTTCCTGTTTTCCCGTATATTACTTATAAATGGCCTTAGTTTTATTCCAGGTACATTACGTACAGTCTGCAGTTAAAGTTATTAAACATTTATTAGATTCATAAACCTTATTGGATTTTTACCAAACTTGAACAGAACTTCTTACAATCAAAAGATAGTATCTAGAGGAACATTTTTAATAATTTTTCCCCATTTTTGTTGAGCCTGCGACTAACAGCAAAAGTAGGCGAGACACTGGGTTCCGCGGAACCCTTACGAATTTTTCATTTGAAAATTATCTTCCAAAATAGTTTTCTATAAGTAAACTGCTATTATTTCGGTGCTCCGTTACTGTATTTACTCTAGGGGCATGTAAAATATATCTAAAGATAATGTATGTTTGTATGATGTAAAACTGTTTTACATTTGTAGAGCGTATGAGAACATTACAGAGACGCACGGTAACTAAAACCACATAATAATGCAGCTGACAATTGGCCATGTAGTGATTGATCCGACCAGTTTTATATGTTGAGACTATAGGAAGTTGTATGTGAATACTTGTTATTTTGTTTTATTGTTAAGTCTATTGTAATCATGTAGCTAGGAAAACAGACAAGTGACAATTATTTGTATTGACATCAAGAAAAGTAAATTATTTATAACTTTAAATCTCATTTATTTACCAATAATAAAATGTATAAGAATGAAAAAATAAAAATATAGTATAGTAATGTAACATATTTTTTGGAAAAGGGATAAACCAAATTTTTATTTTATTTGTGATGTTTTATTTCTGTGTGGCTGTACATTACAAATCTTTGAATTTTACCTAATGAAACAATAATGTACAAATTCTTATAACACAGGGAAACATTCTGTCAATAATTATGTATGTAGGAATATAGTCCTTTCCTTTTCTTTTCTAATCTGTTGTTTTTTTTTCATTTGTTTCCAAATAAATATTCATACTCATTTAGTATCCAATAATATGTTGATGAATATATAATTCGTCATTGCATGTAAAAAAATAAATGACTTTTTTACTGATTATTTGTGAATTGCATTGAAATATTCACATCGTTGGTATGCGATCAGTTTCGGTTCGTCAAACTCCTATCTATAAAAAAATAAGGAGATGTGGTATGATTGCCAATGAGACAACTATCCACCAAAGTTCAAATAAAGTTGATGTAAGCAATTATAGGCAACCTATCTAGTATATTGTAACTTTGAATTAGAAATAAAAAAATATATAACATTTATGACATTAACACACCGAATCTTTAAGGTATCGTATCCTTAAAATAGAAACTTGTTGAACTGCATGTAATAGTTCGGTTATTATATGCTTATCCACTACATGTTTTCCACAACGGTTAATTGACACCATTTTGCTTATTATTATCTCAATGATTGTAGTGAGATTTTGTAAACAGATGTTTTATTTTGGTATACTAAATTAATGAAAAATAAAGATATTGCTGAATGAACTATATTCTGTTCTATGTTCCTAGGTAGAGGAAACGCCCGACTGTTACATAAGTTATCAGATCTGTGCTTAAATAAAAACAAGTCCTTAACCAATCCAAACATCTCAATACAATTCCTAAGATACAATTCTCCTTTTCTTGTAACAGCATATATCTTCAGAGATGTTTAAATATAAACGAGAACTTAAGCAATCCAAACATCTCGATATTAACTCTAGGACACAATCTTCTATTTTTGTAACAGTATATATCTTCAGAGAATCGAAATAAGATCTCATTATCTCATCATTTAATACATACATTGTATATTTTCATATTCTTAAATATTTGAAATAGTCGGTCAATATTACTATTAATTTCGCTTTGAACCAAACTATGTAGGCAAATACCTATTTTATTATTACTTCAATAATTCAATAATACACGCATAGATGTATCGGTAAGAAATAATTGATTTGATGATGTAGTTTCACCTTGTGTTTCGGCTTAGGTTTATATTACCTAGGCATAATCCTCATCAGGTACCCTAGCCTTACAGCAAAATGATAAAAATAAACGAAATTTCTGGTATGCAATTATGGGTGTTTTTTTTTTAAATAGTTGGTTTGCTGTGCTATCATTCGAAATTAAGTGCCAGTGTTTTCTTAAAGTTTTTCCCAGTTGTTTAAGTCTCGGATTATATTTTGTTATAAAGCATAAAGGTGGTGATTTCCCTTTATATATTGCTTTGTACCGTAATGTACTTTCCCTTGTTTTTCTCATTGTTGTCGTTATTATGGGATCAATTTCGTCTGCAACATAACCCCGTTTCTAGAGTTTTTCTCTGAACAATTTTATTTGTGATTCTATGTCCTCTACATTATTAGATGACCGAATAAATCTTATAATTTCTCCTGTAATAAAACCTTTGAATACAGACGATGGGTGGGATGATGATCAATGCAGGTATTGGATAAAATTTGATATCTAAGATTCTATTTGTAATAATTCCTTTTCCTTTGTACACAGTTACATCTACAAATTGAACGTTTGTCCTTGAGGTTTCATATGTGAACTTAATGAGTGGATGAACGTTGTAAGCTATTTCGAAAAAGTCAAGCAATTCATTTGATTTCCGGCAAATAACATAAAGCCGTCATCCCTATATACTGACAAGCGTATAATTTTTAAAGCGTGTGTAAATTCTCCTAGTATTTTAGAGATGATTTCAAAGATTCTCAAGTCTGTTAAGCTTGTCGACATAGTGACTCCCATGGGAACACCAACTATTTGTTTATAAATCACGTTATCAAACTCAAATTCATTGTTTTCTAGTGTAATTCTTAGTAATTCCAGAAATTCATTCCTTGGTGGGAGTGGGATTGCATATTTATATGCTATAAAAGTTTAGGCCACGCTCAGTACACAGCCTGAATTATTTCTTCGTGACTCAGATTTGTGTACATACTACTAATGTCAATTGTAGCTAAAATTACATTATCAGGTGCCTCTATTCTTTTAATTTTGTTAATGAAGAACATCGTATCTTGTGTAAATGTTCATAATTGATGTTGATGTCAATGTTGTGAATTTTAGGTAATAAATATAATCTGCCAACTTGAATTTTTTCGACTTTTGTATCTAAAAGATATCTCAAGGATATGTCATCTAGGTGTGATTGTACATGTAATATCTTTAATTTACTTTCTATTAGATGGTAAATCTCCGTAGAGTGTGATATTGCAATTTGTTCGTAATGTATTCCATCGTTAAGCTCAGCTAACGCTTGTTCAACATAATTCTTTTTATCAAGAATTACTGTTTATGAGTTTTTATCAGCTTTTTTAATTACTATTTCTTCATTTTGTTTCAGTGACTGTAATGCCATTCTTTCTGATTTTGTTAAGTTATCCTTGAATTTCTCCAAGTGTATTCTTCCTAATTTAGTTTTAGTTGCAAATATATAATTTTCTATAGCTGTATTAGCAAAGCTTGGTGTATATCCTGATTTCATAGTAAAAGGATGATTATTTATGACATTTTCATTGCCGTAGAACAGAAATTAAAGTCTCATTTTGCGTGCCAATTCGTCAAAGTTTTGTAAAAAATTACGCTTGATGTTCTTTTCAGCAGGGGCAGGTATAAATTTTAACCATTTAGCTAATAATGATATTTCAGAGTCGCTTGGTTCTGTTTTAGAAAATATTTCAATACATTGTCTAGATAGTTCTATCTTTCTTGTGTGTTTATTTTTTCTCTATTTAAGTCACGTTTGTTTTTAAGATGTGTGCGAAGTTTTCCTTTGTATTTCCTTTCCTTGTTGTCTTTAGTTTCTCACGTTAATTTGTTTACGTTTAGTAGTAAATTCAAATGACCTTTTAACAGGCAATTATAAATAAGATGGATTCTATCTTACTGATCACTGTCTCTATTGGAGAGATAAGTGTTGCAGTAGTTGTTACAATAATTAAACTCTATTGGAGTGATTAATATGCATTTGATTGACTAGATAATAAATCCCTATTGGAGGGATTAATGTGTAATAATATGCGAAATATTAAATCTCTATTGGAGGGAGTCATGTATGCATATGTGTTGCAGTTAACAGTAACAGCTTTAAAAGTATTCCGAAGGACATATTTTTAAGAAATGGAATACCATCGAAACCGTCATGCGCTCACACTCTGCATTCTAATTGGTTATTAATTTTCGGCGTCCTATTGAATTCCCAAATACATTTGTTAGAACCGCCCCTATAGTTGTAAGATTAGCTAATTGATACATACGTATTTTTTGTATAAAAATCTATGAATCGATTTGAGACAACTATCAATAAATCAATGCCAATAATTGATTCTATAGATTTATCAGCTTTACAGTAACTGCGATACATATTTTACTTTCAATACAATAAACAATAGCAATTAACCCTTTGTTCGTTAGCAATACGGCATATTACAGGTTACACATTATATTTTGAAACAAACATATTCGCTCGTGTCTAGTTTAATAAATAAGTAAGATGTTTTCAGTATTTGAAACTTTATAATTACTAAGGATAAAAGGATAACATTCTGCAATTTAAACCATTAAGTCAAACCTGCAATCACAGTCAAAAGTATCTAATTATTCACAATAGTTAATTATAATTCCGCACACTATTATTGCAATTTATTCACTATATCAAAAGTCTTAACGACGTCCTCGGCGTCCCCCACAACCACCTATAAAATTCTTACGTTCATACCGGGTTCCTTTATCACCAATCATTTCTTTGAGTTCATCCAGTTCTTGTTTAATACCTCCAATAGTGTTAGTTTCCTTTGAAGTACGACGGCTTGAACTAGTTTCTTTCAGCTCTTTAATTTCCCCTTTCAATTTGTTGATTTCCGTATTCTCGCTGTCCGTTCCATTATTCCTGTATTTTTTGGCCCAATTTTCTTGTAGCCTTTAAATTCTTTCGTTAAACTTCCTTAATGTAGTATGTCCTCCTGGTCTTTTAATATACATTTTTTCAGTAGCTTCGTTCCAAAGTTTTTGCATGTCAGCGGTAAAATTATCAAACTGTTCTTTAGTCGCTTCAATCATTGTTGTACGAAGTGTCTGGCGCATTGTTTTTGTGAATGCGGTCATCTTATCTTCGAAAACGCAGAGGCTTCTTCAGATCCAAATTTTGGCGCAAATGTTGCTGCACTTATTCTAGCATATATAGGGAGGTTATCCCCTTCGTATTTCCTTAGATCTCTCAACAGGTTAGCAATATAGTTCCTTTTTTCCAAAATTCTCTCTATTTTCCCAGATATTCACTGATCACTTTTTCTCCTTTAATTTGGTCGCCCTCCATTCTTTCAAAATTGAAATTGATTGGGATAATTTTGACAGTATTTTCCGGTTCATTGTTCTCCTCCTTCATTTTTTGGCTCATCTCCATAATTTCAGTAGCTATTTCAGTATCCGATTCCGTATTTTCTTGTGTTGTATTAGTCTCTTTATTGTCAATTTTCTTTAACGATAGCTTTTTCTTGTCCATTACTTGAAATAGCTGAGTTACTTTGTTAAGTTGGTAGCGCTGTATGAATTATGCATATGGTTATCATATACTGACCTAAATTCTTATTTTTACTGAACTCTCTCTTGGAAACATTTTATTGTTTTAGACATTTTTTTTACGAACTGTTATTTAAACAGCTATAAATTTGTCATTGCTGCCATGCAAGGTGCACATTTGTACTTAAATATTATCTAAGTGAAAGACAGACAAGAAACAGAAAGATGATTCACCAAATTTAGGAAACCCCAGTATTTTTCTCGTTTAATTACAAAGGCTACTTAGGTGCTTCAAGTGCAAGTTAACCCTTTCTCCTAGTGAACTAATGCATTTATATAGCATATTTGATAGATTTGAATTTTAATCTCAGGGGTTATACTAAGATTATTTGGAAATCACTAAGCGCAAAGCAAGGCAATACGAAGGTAGGAGCTACGTGGGTGAAGCGGAGGCTT